CCCCCCCCCCGGTCAATCCTTACTGGGGACCCCCACCCCCATACACACTTCTTTTGTGGGGCCATCTGTTGCTACGGAGGCCCCTGCTGAGCTTTCTGGCGGTTGCTAGGCAACCCCCAAGCTGTTGCTAAGTTGGTTCTTCCCTTCCTTGTTGCCAGGGAGACATCACCCCCAGCCCCCAACTGTTGCTAAGGGGATCCCCAAATTGTAACTTTCCCCCCACTCCGCCCCAGCAGACACATTCCCAGACGAGCTAAAGAGTCCCACGTATATACACAGACACGCATCTTTAGCTTTACTCGGCGTTGGTGGGACCCGGAACCATCGGTATCCACTTTGGTGACTTGCTCTGTCAGTCATGCCTGGAGGTGAGTGATCTTGTATCGAAGGGACTGCAAGCCGTCGGTGGAGGGGTGTATAAAAGGGCCCCATGTGTTTATCTGCATAAGTCTAAGCTGCCTTTTGGCACTAGGGATGCCAACCTCCAGGTGAGATCTCGGGATCCCCCGGAATTAGAGCTCATCTCCAGACTACAAGATCAGTTCATTTAGAGAAGATGGATGCTTTGGAAGGTGGACTGTTATTTACTGAGCCTGAACAGTACTTGGAAACTGACTACGCTTGTTTCGCCACAACAATAGCTAGCCAGTATCCTGGAATGGACCGATTAAGTAGGAGTTGTAATGTAAATAGCCTCAGTGTGTGTGGGGTGTGTGTGTGTTTTGCACGCATATAAGCAGGGCTCCAGCCCTGCTAGAGTTGTCTTAGAGTTAAGCTGGAGTCACTAATAAACTATGAGCTGATCACTACACGTGTCTGGAACCCAGTACATTTCAGACTCTATGGCATTGTACCTAGGGTGGTACAATGGAAGATGTACCATTGGAAGGTGGACTTTGTGGCACTGACGTCCCTCCCTTCCCCAAACCCTGCCCTAGTCAGGCCCCACCCCTAAAATCTCCAGGTATTTCCAAAGCTGGAGTTGGCAACCCTAATTGTACCCCACTGAGGTCCCTGTCCTCCTTAGGCTCCATCCCCAAATCTCCTGGAGTTTCTCAACCTGGAGCTGGCAACCCCATCCCCCGCTGGTGGGCAAGGGGCCCCCTGGCAGCCCTATTTGGCACCCACGCGCTCTCAAAAGCAGCCTGCAAAAGGCATGTGCAGTAAAAACATACATTACAACCTGGAGGCGTATTAATTAGCATCCCTTAACAGAGGCCAAATGAGCTCAGCAGGGAGCACAGCTGGTTCAAGAGTTTCAGGATGGCTGTGATTGGCAGCCTGTGATTTACGGGATGATCCCATAACCGCTTTCCTGGGAGTAAGTCCCACTGAGTAAACTTGGGTAGGATTCTCAATAGACCTGCTTAAGGTTGCTCAGAACATGACTTGAAAACGTAAAACCTTATGACGTAAAACGGGGAAGCGATGTGGAACTTCCGAAACATTCAGTAATACGACGTACAATGCAGGGCTAGAAGATATTTTTATGCACTAGTATCGTGCGTGTTCAGTTCCGTCAAGTCATTTCTGATGTATGATGGCCCTATGAATTAGAAGATATTTTTATGCACTAGTATCGTGTGTATTCAGTTCCGTCAAGTCATTTCTGATTTATGATGGCCCTATGAATTAACCTAGCAGTTCGAAAGCAAGAAATTGCAAGTAGATAAATAGGTACCACTTTGGTGGGAAGGTAACAGCGTTCCGTGCACCTTGGTGTTTAGTCATGCCGGCCACATGACCACGGAAACGTCTTCGGACAGCGCTGGCTCTTCGGCTTGGAAACGGAGATGAGCACCGCAACCCTAGAGTCGGATTCGACTGGCTTTCGAGCAAGGGAACCTTTACCTTTACTTTACTATGAATTAACATCCTCTCAAGCGTCCTGTCGTTAGTAGCCATTCTCAGGTCTTTGTGGCTTCCTCGATTGAGTCGATCCAATCTCACGTTGGGTCTTCCTCTTTTCCTGCTGGCTTCAACTTTTCCTGGCATTATTGTCTTCTCCAGTGACTCTGGTCTTCTTGGAATGTGACCAAAGTATGATAGCCTCAGTTTAGCCATTTTTGCTTCTAGGGGGAGTTCAGGCTTGATTTGATCTAGAACCCACTGATTTGTCTTTTTGGTGGTATCTGTAAAAATCTCCATAGTAGAGTCCACTGTGTCTGTAAAACTCTCCTCCAATACCACATTTCAAAGGAATCTGCTTTCTTTTGATATTGCTTAGCTCTTAATCAGGATGGGTTGCTGTGTTAGTCTGTATGAGTAGCAGAAAAGAGCAAGAGTCCAGTAGCATCTTAAAGACTAACAAAATCAGTGGCAGGGCATGAGCTTTCACAAATCACTGCTCACTTCTTCAGATACAGTTAGAATGGGAGTCCATCTGTCCTTATAATTGGAGAGTAGAGTGATTTCAGATGCCAAATGACAACAGCAGGCAAATGACAATACTAGGTGAATGACAATAGCAGACATGAATGGATTAGGTGTGATATGCAAAGGAGTAGTATTTATTTATTTAATTAATTTATACCCCGCCCTCTTCGCTGAAGCAGAAATCACATTGGTAATGAGATGGGAAACCTAGGTCTCGATGCAGGCCTGGAGGATGCATTGTCTTGAGCTTCATTATCAGTTGTAATTCAGCAGTCAGAAATTGACCACTGGTCCACCAGTGAACTGAGATTTGCTTTTTGGCCAACCCTGCCTTACATGAACACACAACAAAGCCTTAGAAAACATGTGATACAAATCTTTTAATCTGTCCAAGTATTTTGTTAGCCAAACTGACAGCCAGTGTGTTGTGGTGGTTATTGTGCTGGGATAGGACCAGGAGGCCTGGATGCAAATCCCCCCCCCCGCCATGAAACTTACTGGGTGACCTTGAGTCAGTCATTCTCTCAGCCTAGCCTACCTCACAGGAGTGTTGTGAGGATAAAATGGAGACGGGGAGAACCACACATGCCACCCTGAGCTCCTTGGAGGAAAGGCAAGGGTACAAAATGTGCTAAGTCAATCATTAACATCTGATTTGAGATCCAGAAAAGTAAGAACTCCCATGTTCTTGTTCCCAGAGAACATACACAGTTCCTCCAAAGAAGGAGTAAACTTAACAAAATCCCTCATTGCGCGGAGGAACCTGTTTGCCCCAGTGGAGAAAGGGTCCCTGGAGAGCATGTGAGTATCTGAGAATTCTGGGAGGTTGAGATTGTGGCCGGTGGGGATACTTCTGGCCAATGGAATGAGAAGAGGCACAAAGCTGTGTGAAATGTCTCCCCCTTCAGATCCCAGGCCTTGACTTCTCTTCCGGTCCTCCGACTAGACAGGGAGAGAATCAGCCACATCCCAGACCTACAAGGTTTAGAACACATCCACAGCATCTATCTGCAACAGGTAACCTATTTGATCACATATTCTCACCACTGATTTTTTTAAAAACTGTCAAAAAGTCCACCAGAGGCAAACGGGGGGGGAAATGGTGGTGACAAGGGGAAAGAGCAGGGAATTGCTCCACATGGAGTCTCAGTTGCTGCTGTAAATGCCTTTTTGGAGCAAAACAGGGACTCTTCTCCATGCGGAAGCAGCCTGACTCTGGCAGTAAATCAGCTTCAGACCTGGATTCGGATCCTAGTCTGATGGCCTCGAACAAAACATAATGGAGTGGCGTGCATTCAGACAGTCACAGTAACCATACTTCAATTAAACCATGGTATTGCATGTTGTCTGAATAGGGTGGCCAGGTCTGGGTTAGGAAATACCTGGAGATCTGGGGAGTGGCACCTAAGGAGGGTGGGGTTTGGGGAGGGGTACAGTATAATGCCATGAGTCCACTTTCATTTGGGTATAATGCCACGGAGTCCACTTTCCAAAGTGGCCTTTTTCTCCAGGTGAACTGATCTCTGTCACCTGGAGATCAGTTGTAATCCCAGGAGATCTCCAGCTGGCATCTGGAGGTTAAGTAATACAAAAGATACAAAAGATCAAACCATGGATAAATAATGAAAAATAATATATTCAGCAATCAATGAGTATAACAATGGCCCTGTTCATACGAGGCGTTTTGGGCCGGGAGTGGGCCGGATTGGAAGCGCAGCAAACGGGCGTGATCCCATGTCAACATCTGGCTGGTGTTGCGCTCCCGTCTCTGATCCGGCTCTTCCCCCAATGAAGCGCTTCAAAACTGAACCACCTACCTAGGTGGTTCATCCGTTTGGTCCGTATCGTATCGGCAGCCTCCCCCTCCCGAGCGTCCCTACCTCCCCGGCATCTGATCATGCCGGGGAGCAACGGCGCGCGGTGCACGGGATCCGTGGGATCCCGCCCGCGCGTCTCTTTTTTGGTGCGGCTCTATTTAGCCGCGCTTTGCTGGGTGTTTTCCCTGTCGTGTGGCAGGGGCCAATATGAACCTATTCAAATACAGTGATTTTTCTGAATACAGTATGGTAATCAGAAACACAAAAGTCCATGGAGTATTTGAATAGGTTCAGATTATTATACTCATTGATTGTTGAATATATTATTTTTCATTATTTATGCATGGTTTGGTCTTTGGGGTCACTTACTCCCTTCTGTGCATATTCGCTGTTTGGGTCCCTTAGCACCTGGAGGTTGGCGACCCTGTGTCTGAACTGAGCCAGAGGTTCTAATACTGTTTTCATTTTCAGAACCAAATCAAGAAAATTGAAAACCTGAGCTGCTTGCCCAACTTGAAGTAAGCAGTTGTTACTTGTTTGTTTGCCCCTCTGCCAAATCACAATTTCATGGCTTTTTAAAATTTGAAAACGTGAAAAAGTCATTCTCAGGCTTGGTTCACACTTGAACTAGTAGCATGGTGTGGCGAGGCAACAGAGCGGACTGCAGACGATAGATTCCAGTTTGGAATCCTCTTTTGCGTTGAAAGCATCTCCCAAAAAATTCAGGGGAGGGGAACAAGTTAAATAGCCATTTGCCAGAACCCTAATGTTCCCTCTAAGCTGTGGAGTCTGGTGAGCAAAAATCCTACTTTGTGGGCTACTGGCATTAAAGTGGTGAGTGAGCCATTTGGCTACTGCATAAATTACTTTGCTCTGGATCCATCCTTCCTGAGCGAAGACAAAAATCTGTGAGCTGGAGGCTAAAAAAAAGTGAGCTAGCGCATACTAACTCAGCTTAGAGGGAACACTGGCTAACCACTTACCCCTTGGCTACATTTTGCAGCCAGATAACACAACGTTCATACGTAGTGGGGACAACCAGGCCATCATCAGGGACAGCGGTTAGATAGAGAAAAGTTTGAGTCCAGTGGCACCTTTAAGACCAACAAAGTTTTATTCAAGGTATAAGCTTTCTGAAGAAGTGTGCATGCACACGAAACCTTATACCTTGAACAACACCTCATTGGTCTTAAAGGTGCCCCTGGACTCAGACTTTGTTCTGCTGCTTCAGACCGACATGGCGACCCCCTTGAATCTATCTTCAGAGGTTGGATAGCTTCAAGAGAGGACTGGAAATTAGAATGTATTCCCAGGCAATGCATGGACGGAGGAAGGGAGGGGAGAGGTCCTGACCATCAGCAGATGAATTGAGTGCCTGGCTTTGTGAGCTGGATCGCAATTCTGCCCACTGCTTGAAGACAGAGAGATTGTGAGGTCACCCACCAAACCATTGGCTAACTAGATCCCTTTTTTTGCCGCCAAGCCACAGATGACTTATGGCACAACTAAAAACCAGTACCTAGGGCAGAAGTCCCCAACATGGAGCCTGCCAACACCTTTTCTGGTGCCCATCAAGGTTTTTTAGGAAATGCGCAGAACCAGGCAAGGATTTTGTCCAGCAAGGCTTCTTATAGGCTATTGAAGATTTGATTGGCAATGCAGCCTTTAAAAGGCTCTTTTTAAAGGAACCCTTTGAAAGGTTCCTTGTGAGCTGCTCTCACAAGAATCTTCACTGTGTGGCTAAAGGTAAGCTGGGGCAGCCGTTTTGTGGCTGGCTCTGTTTCCTGCAGCAGCCATTTTGTGCCTCAGCCTACCATGCTGTGCCACAACTCCAAAGGTGGTATATAAAGCCCTAGAGTCCACCCTCCAAAGCAGCCATTGTCTCCAGGGGAACTGATCTTTTTGCTGTCTGGTGATCAATTGTAACAGATGGCAACCTCTAGGCCCCACCTGGAGGTTCAAGTAATGAATAAATGTACACTGCAAGAAACTTTTGTAAATTAATGTGTTCTGTTTATAACAATCTATAAAGTGCATTGTGTATTGCAACCTTGAGAATGACAGGAGCACTCCGTCCATGAATTTTAGCTGCACGATGTGTCTTTTGTAGGACCAGCAATAAGCATCAACACAACTATAAATGAAAGCTTTCCCCCTTCTGGAAGACTTCATGCAAGTAGAAGTGGGCTTGTAATTCTGGAAACTCCCGTTGGGGTTTGACTTTTAAAATACTAATGCAATATAATATTGTATGAACTGAGTTATTGTTATAGTGAAAGTACTGAATATATATACCTGATTAGGATGTTATAATAATACACAATGCACTTTATAGATTGATAGTTATAAACAGAACACATTAATTTACAAAAGTTTCTTGCAGTGTATATTTATTCATTACTTGACTTTCCTTACACTGCAGCTCGGGTTGCTACACCCACCTGGAGGTTGGCAAACCTACCCACATGGGACAACGGGACCTAAATGGACAAGGCTGTGGTAAGGAGAAGTGGCTGAGATTGACTGGCCCTCACTGGGTCCAACCTCATAAATATGTCTATGTGTCAGTCTTCAAATCAACAACCAAATAGCATCGAAATTAAGAAGGGGGAAAGCAGCAAATAATACCAACTGTCAAGGAAATGCCTGTGAGAAAAGGAAACTTTTGACTTGCTGCCTGAAAGAGAGCAATGATGATGCCTGGAGAATTTCTCTAGGCAAGATGTTCCAAAGGAAGGGGTGCCACATCTGAAAAGACCCTGTCTTCAACCTTCACACCTCACTTCACCAAGTGGGAACTCTTGGAGCATGAGCCTCCCCTGTGGACCTCAGCGAACTGACAGGCTACTATTATTATTTATCAAAATATTTGTAGCCCTCCCTCCCTCTTGACTCAAGGCTGTATGGGAGGAGACAGCCCTCGAGACACCCTGGGGTCTCAAACTATGTAGCTCTTCCCGTGATCTTGCCACTAAGAACAGTCAAGGGGAAGACGGACGGGCGTGACCTTTGCTGCTCCCCCTCATGGATTCGAGTTCTTTTTTCTTGTGTTCTGCTGTGCCAAATTTAGTATAAGCTGTGCTTATTTTTAGCCACTTTAATCTTGCATGTTTCTGGCTTTGACAGAAGCGACAAATTAAGTAGGTAGTAACCCACCAGTCTCCTACGCAAGCCTCACTGAACTGAATGGGAGAGTCTGTCATATTTATACAGCCTCCCCCCCATTCGTTTCAAAAGGGTCTTGTGCAGGCAAACTCCGCAGTGGGTGGTGCCCCTATAGCTTAGATCTCTCTCCGGTTTTCAGTCTCAAAATAGGCACTCCCTTTAATGAGGGGGGGAGGGGATGAGTGCTTATCCAGACTGTTCATGTCAGATGCCGGAATACCAGGAATCAGCCGTGCCACCCACCCCCCAAGCCCCAGAAATACTTATTTATTTCCAACCCAACTTCTTTCCTTATTTTCTTTCTGTTTTATAATCCATGCAGATGAGTTGCCCCAGAGCATCCGGATTCTTGATTTAACAGGAAATAAATGCACCAATCAGAAAGGCTACAGGTAAGGCCTGTAAACAGAGGCCAGATGGCCATCGGACAGCAATGCTGATTCTGTGAACTTAGGCAGATCATGGCCCCTGCCACACGTGGGGAAAAAGAACGGGCAAAGTGCGGCTTTTTAAAACCGCACCAAAAGAAACATGTGGCGGCGGGATCACATAGATCCCCTGAGCCGCTGCGCAGTTCCTCCCCGGCACGATCAGATGCGGGGGGGACGCGCCCCTGAGGTGTGGGGGCGGGGGGGGGGGGGGGGGAGCTACGGAAGGGGGAGAGAGGCTGCCGAACTGCTCATGTGTGAGCAAGCGCAGTTCAGCCGGGAGCCTAGGTTGCTCCAGAAGATGAGCGCGCCGGCGATCTGACAGCCGCGCTTGCTGCGGCTTATCCAGTAAGTCCTCCTCTGAGGGTGGTTATTTTTCCATGCGCATTTTCGGCCTGAAGGGCCAGATCGGGGACGGGTGCACGCCGATTCCCAGATATTGCGGTGTGCTTGCGCCCGTTTGCTCCGCCCCCGATCCGTCCCTCTCCCGGGCCAAAACCTCTCGTGTGACCGGGGCCCATGAGAGGGAGGGCAGGAAGGGTTGCCTCAGTGCTAAGTTCTTGTGGCCCTTTCTTACACGCCCAGAGAAATGCCAATCACCACTTTGAGGTCAGGAAACAATTTTTCTCCAGGCCACATTGGCCAGGGATCCTGGAGGTTTTTTGCCATCTTCTCGGTGTGGGTCACTGAGTCTGTGTGTGTGGGAAAGGTATTTGTGAATTTCCTGCCTTGTGAAGGGGGTTGATGACCCTGGAGGTTCCTTCCAACTCTATGATTCTATGATTCTAAGGCCTGGAAGAGGCCCTACCCTCACCTACTCCTGCCAGTTTGGCATAGTGGTTAAGAGTGCGGACTCCAATCTGGGAGAACCGGGTTTGATTCCACACTCCTCCACATGTAGCTGCTGGTGTGACCTTGGGTCAATTACAAGTTCTTTGAGTACTGCTCTCATGAGCAGTTCTCGAAAGAGCTCTCTCAACCCCACCTACCTCACAGGCAATGTTCCCTCTAAGCTGTGGAGTCTTGTGAGTAAAAATTCTGCTTTGTGAGCTACCAACAGTAAAGTTGTGAGTGAGCGATTTGGCCACTGTGTAAATTAGTTTGCTCTGGAGCCATCCTTCCTGAGCGAAGGCGAAAATCTGTGGGCCGGAGGCTAAAAAACTGTGAGCTAGCTCACCCTAACTCAGCTTAGAGGGAACACTGCTCACAGGGTGTCTGTTGTGGGGAGGGGAAGGGAAAGGAGATTGTAAGCTGCTCTGAGACTCCTTCGGGTAGTGAAATCCAGTCTCCTCCTCCTCGCCCCATCCTCAGGTGGCTGTACCTGTGCAGGAATTCTATTTTTTTTTGTTTTGCCCCCCATAGGGGATTTTTTAAGTGCATTTTCTATAAACTACAATGAAAATAAGGGAGGGAATCTGCAAACTATGGGAGACAGTAAAGTAAAAAACCCACTAAAACCCCAAGAGATGGTGGTCATACAAAATGCTTATAAAATTAGCTTTCAGCTTACAATTTCAGTTAAAGTTCATTGGATGTGGTCCTCAAACATTCTATTTTAAACTTAAAACATAAAATAACACCTACGCGTCTGACTTCATAAAAAGCAATATAAGTAATAATTAAAGCCCTTGTAAAGGATCCCAGAAACAATGACAACTCTTTATCCATCCTTTTTCTGTCTCAACTGATAGCTTGTTTTTGGGGCTGCCACCCCAAGTTTTGAATCTGAGTCCTCGTCAGAAGATGCCAGTCCTCCCTCATCTTCACTCCTCTTGGTGCTCTCGTCTTTACCTTCTTCACCTGCTGGTGTGTGCGTGTGTGTGTGTGGGGATTCCCGAGAGCACCCGCCCACTCTGCTTCTGGGCACGCCTTTGCCGTTCTTGAGCCCTGCCTGTTGTCCATAAATTGGACGTCACACAGGGATGAGAGGGAAGCTGGTGATATAAAGACCACGAATAGCTGCAGATAAGGAGGAAAGTCGTAGCTTCAGCATCTGCTTTATATACCCTTCTGGTTGAATGGAGGCTGCGTCCTACTCAATCTCACCCCCCCCAGCCCCATTTGGACCCTATTTATTGTTCTCGTGCTTTTCTCCTCCTTCCGAGGGAATCCATTCTGGCAGCCCTGCCTCACCTGGTAGAACTGGATGCCCAGCGTGTCCCTGACCGAAAGGCCCCTCCTGCCCAAGGCAGGGAAGAAGCAGAGGGGAATTCAGAAGACAGCGATGAGGACATCCCTGAGCTCTCTCAGCCTCTGAGCACAGAAAAAGGTACCCTGAGAGCTCGCTTGTGGGCCACAATTTGTGCATTAGGAAGAGCGAGAGCGGGGGCGGGCGGAAAGGTCTGCTGCTGCTGCTTCTACGACTGCCAGCTCAGAGATTCTCTGTTTTTCACATTTCCCTCTAACCTGCCCACCCCATTTGCCACCAAAATGCTTTACAAAATGCTTTACATACAAAGTTGCCGTGGGCGGGTTATCCGGGCGCGATCACACCCCAACATCTGGGAAGTGGAGCACACCCGTGGCTTACCGCCGAAAATGTGCGTTAAAAAAAGTAGTACCTCCAAAGTACTGGTAAACAGTTTGCCACGGGCTGCCTCCAGACTCCCGCGGTGTGATCGCACCAGTGCGCGGCTTTCCCCTCCGGCCCCTTGTTTACGTGCCCGCGCCGAGGGAAGGACCCGTGGTGTGCCACCGGCATGTCTGATTGCATAATCGCGGATCAAACTGCGCCGGGGCAATTAGCCACGCCTCCCCGCTGCGATATCCGGCCCGTGTGACCGGGGCCATAATGTGCATTTTTTCCCTGTTAGGCTTCAGTAGGGGTTATAAGCGATGCAGGGCATTCAAACCTTCCCTTCCTACCACTAGAAGTCCTGCTCAGACCCCTCCCCCCTTTCAGTGAGTTTATCAGGAATTTGCAAATATGCAGAAAAGGGCGGCCAATAATATAATCCTAGATACCCTTAGCATAACTGGTGAATCATCTCTTCATGTCTCCTCTTTATGTCAGCCTCTGTGCTCTGTTGTTGGCCCTCCAGAACTTGTTGGCCACTGTTTGAGACAGGAGGCTGGACTAGATGGACCATTGATCTGACCCAGCAGGGCTCTTCTGATATTCTTATCAGAGGAAGGCCTCGATCTCTACGCCGTTGTTGGCCCTCCAGAGGAACTGGTTGGCCACTGTGTGAGACAGGAGGCTGGACTAGATGGGCCACTGGTCTGATCCAGCAGGGCTCTTCTGATGTTCTTATCAGGGGAAGGCCTCGACCTCTACGCTCTATTGTTGGCCCTCCAGAGGAACTGGTTGGCCCCTGTGTGAGACAGGAGGCTGGACCCTCACTGGTCTGTTCCAGCAGGGCTCTTCTGATGTTCTTATCAGGGGAAGGCCTCGACCTCTACGCTCTATTGTTGGCCCTCCAGAGGAACTGGTTGGCCCCTGTGTGAGACAGGAGGCTGGACCCTCACTGGTCTGTTCCAGCAGGGCTCTTCTGATGTTCTTATCAGAGGAAGGCCTTGGCCTCTACGCCCTGTTGTTGGCCCTCCAGAAGAACTGGTTGACCCCTGAGTGAGACAGGAGGCTGGACTAGATGGACCCTCACTGGTCTGTTCTAGCAGGGCTCTTCTGATGTTCTTATCAGGGGAAGGCCTCGGCCTCTATGCCCTGTTGTTGGCCCTCCAGAGGAACCGGTTGGCCACTGTGAGAGACAGGATGGGGGACTAGATGGACCACTGGTCTGACCCAGCCGGGCTCTTCTGTTTGGTGTAGTGGTTAAGTGTGCGGACTCTAATCTGGGAGAACCAGGTTTGATTCCCCACTCCTCCACTTGCACCTGCTGATGTGACCTTGGGTCAGTCACAAGCTCTGGCACAGCTGTCCTTGAAAAAGAGCAGTTTGTGTCAGAGTTCTCTCAGCCCCACCCACCTCACAGGGTGTCTGTTGTGGGGAGGGGAAGGGAAAGGAGTTTGTAAGCCGCTCTGAGACTCCAAGTGAAGGGCGGGATATAAATCCAATCTCTTCTTCTTCTTCTTCTTACTTCTGTTTCTCTCCTTCTCTGGTAGACTTCTTTGTTGACCTCCACAATGAATTTATCAGTCGCTCCGAAAGGAGAAGAAGGGAGGCCCTCAGTGAGCACGAAGCCCGTCTGGAGGAGCTGAAGGAGCGGGAGAATCTGAGATACCTGCTGCTTAACGCAACCCCCCAGGCCCCAAGTCCGCCAGGCCCTCAAACCCCAACCCTGGAGGCTCCCACATTCCAAACTGAGTGCCACGGCTCACCTAGCCCATCTTTAGAAGCAGCAAGTTCCACGTTTCATGAAGGACTGAGTACACCAAAGGGGAAGGCTAAGGTCAGAAGTCAGATCCAGGGGAAAACTCTGAAAGGAGAGATATCTGGTACAGCTAAATGTGTGAGAAAAGCAAAGAAATGACCTTTGCACCATGAAATAAAGAAACTCACAGCCCTCATGAACTATCTTTATTCTACAAATCAGTGGGGTCACACAACATTTCTTGGCCTCTAATAGAGAGAAAGCTTACTGTCCATCTTTATTTACCAAGGGTTGCCAGCGGAGGGGGAGGGAAGGAAGCCTGCCAGTCTGAAATAAAAGCCCAGCAAATGGCTTTTCTGCATTCTCATTGCTTTTAAGTTCCCATTTCTTTGGAGGGGGGGGGTCTCTTCCAAACATGGTTTGCTCCCTCTAGTGGCCAATTCAATATTACACCAGTGTATGTTCAGCGTGTAAACCTGCAATTTAAATGTGCAAGGATATGCTGGACATAACACGGTGTAATAACGCATCAACCACTAGAGGGAGGAGTCTGCTGCCTGCTGAAATGTGGCTATGCCACAAAGATAAATTGGATCAAAGCTGGCTTACCTGCCATTGCTTTCCCCCAAGCACATATACGGGACAGATATGTTTGCTGAAGAATTGTAACAGTCCTCCCAGAACTCATTTAAGAGATATAATGGTTATAGCCGGGCTACAAATGGTAGCTTCTATATATTCTTATAAAGGACAGTTCTGTTAATGGCTCATGAAACGAGGCAGCAACTAACGTATTCTGTGCACAGCATCATGAATGTGCGTGCAGGTTAAAGTCTTCATGCAGGGAAAAAGACTGAAGATTCTCAGCTTCAATGTGCCAAAAGGTGGGATTTCACAGCTCTGTTGAAACAGCACTTTCATGCCAAATCACCCTTTCGGCAGAGTAGACACAGCAGCAGGACGAGTGTGGGGATCGCAGCAGGATGAGGATGGGACTGGAAGAGGGCAAGAGGTTCTCCTTGGCTCTTGGGAGTTCTCAGAGCTGGAAAGGGAAGGAAGAGGGCACGCCTCACAGGTACTCTGGCACATCATGGTCTACTACATTATTCAGACTGTCTGGCTTGCTGGAGGCCAGTCGTTTGTTTTCGTTTGAGATTCTGCAGGAAAACGGGGGGAATCATATACAGCTTTTTTATCTTTAACGCAGACTCTTCTTCCAGAGTCATATTCATGTACCAATATTCTCCACCACTCCCATGTTGTTGATGAAAAGCCACAGGGCAACAATGATCCACCGTACACTGAACACACACTCACACACACATACTTTGCTTTAGATCTGACCAATTTTTTTCTCTCCATTATTACCAGCAGTCAGGTCAAGGTCAGGGAAGAGAGGGACTTTCTAGGCTCCGGCCCATGAGAAGTTGCATCATGAAGGGAGCTCACCACGGAGCTCTACCTTCTTCAGTGTCTGCCAAGCACGCAGTGCGGCATTTGGCAGGAGCCCCCCCCCCCAACGTGGGATTCAGCAGGTGTCCTGGCAGCTCAAGGAGGCTAGGGGGTGGGCCAAACACGGGGATTTTCCACTGTCACACAAGTCGCTCGATCCCCTCACTGTTGCTGGCACTCTGGGCTGGCGGGGTGCGCTCATGCTGGGGTCGCGTCTTTGCAGAAGCACTCCCCCGGTCTCCTTTGGCCTCCAGGTGAGTGGGGGACCTGGCGGAGGTGGGCTGCTCGGTGTCAGGGGGATAGACGGCGGCAGCGTGGGGGCCGCGGGAGGCCCAGTACCAACAGAGAGGTCAGCGGTGCGGGGGCCACCGGAGGTCTGGCAATGGGACATCCACATTCTCATTTTCCTTGCTTTATGCCTGACATAATGCAATGTAATATCGAATCGACCACTAGAGGGAGCCAAACACATGTGGAACAAACCCGCCTCCCCAGCAACGGGAAAACACAAGCGATTAAAATGAGAAGGCAGAAAAGCCCAAATTGGCAGAGGGGTGTCCTTTTGTGAGACAAAAAATTACACATGGAAAATGTATCTGGTTAGACCCATAGTTCTCTCTCTAATGGGCCTCTAAGTCATATAAGACATTCATGCTAGATTCTGACCAAAGATCCCTATAGTTCACTTCTTCCTCCAACATTGTCTGCTAAAGATCTTAGAGAAACCCCGGATCAGGCAGAGTCACTTCCTCCTTATTTATCTCCAGACCTTGGGATACAGAGATTCCATTTTTCGCTTATCACACCAGACAACAACTGATAAGACCCAGTCTTGGTGAGTTTACCCACTCACAGCCTATTCCAATGTCGACAAGACATCCAGTGACAGTGAGTTCCAGAGGCTACAGATGGTAACTCTGAGGTGCTATTAATTCCCCCCCCCTCAAACTCCCATACTATCATCATCACATATGGCTGATAAGATTCACACACAGAACTCTCAGTAATACTGAGATGGGACTTTCCACCCACCTGCCCTGAGCAGGCAAGAACAACGGAGAGGCGCCTTCATTTATAGAACTGGAGCTCTGCGTTCACACAGTCAAAGAACAGGTCAGCCAGCTCCTGGGTTTTCAGCGTGAAGGAGCCCGCCAGCAAGTTCTTCACCGCCTCCAGTGCCTGCTGCTCAAGTCCCTGCAAGCATTCCTGGATCTTCTGACGCTCAGCCTGGAGGTTGGAAAGGAAGGAGGAGGTGGAGGAGGAGGAGAGTTGGCTTTATACCCCGCCCTTCACAGAGTCTCAGAGCGGCATACGGTCTCCTTCCCTTCCTCTCCCCACAATAGACACCCTGTGAGGTAGGTGGAGCTGAGAGAGCTCTTTCAAGAACTGCTCTTGAGAAAACAGCTCTGAGGGAACTGGGACCGACCCAAAGTCACCCAGCTGGCTGCATACAGAGGAGTGGGGAATCAAACCTGGTTCTCCACATTAGAGTCCACCGCTCTTAACCACGACACCAAACTGGCTCTCTTGAGCCTGCACCTTTGGAATTCTGGATGTGGACCCAATCACAACATGGCTGCCACAGGAGGACCACAAAATGTCAAAGAGGGAGGTTATACATAATTCTAATAGTAACAATTCCCGCCCACTTTCTGAAAGCTCTTGGTAGGCACCAAGAAAGATGTTGGTGGGCACCGTTGGGGACCCCTGCTCTAATACAAAACGTAAAGCCTTTGAACTGTCACGGCTTCTGCACTGAAGCGCTGGGAAACACTACTTCTGCGAGGCAAGAAATGTAAATATCCTGACGCGTCTCGATACACTTGTGTTATAATTCTAATGTTCCCTCACTCGCATGGCAGCCACAACAGCCCACTTAATTTTTTTGTAATGAAAACCTCAGAAGGGTCACACACAAGTACATGGGGGGGGGGTGTCGTCACCTGATGAGAATCCAGAGCTTCCAGGGCTAGCTGATGCCTCCTGTAGAGTTCATGTCGCCGGTCAACCCGGCTCTGAAACCGAGGCCTCTCCCTGATGGGGTCTCTGTCGCCAAACCTTGGCGCCTGCACCTGGCGGAAGGGGGTGATGTTGGGAACGAAGATGAAGGGTTTGAATACAGACCTGCCAAGCCAGAGAGAGAGAGAGAGAGAGAGAGAGAGAGAGCAGATTAGGCGGGTCAGTCTCTGAAAGAGATCCTCATTGGCTTGATTTCTAAATGGAAACTGGGTGGGGGAAGAGGCAAAGCTGCAAGTGGGACAGTGTGATAATAGAGTCAAATACCCTACAGAAGTACAGAGCAAAACGCTTCCCACAAGTGTTAAAAACCGAGAGGCTCGGATTTTGATGTGCTTTCACAGAAGGAAGCCCTGAGGATGCTTACCAGAACTGCCTCTTTCAAGGCCTTGTTTATAGCACAAAAGTCTATATTTCCATGTAATGCCGAAAGTCCATTTGTTTTTTTCAGACATACAATCAAAGAAGTCTTCACAAGGTAATAATGATGAAACTCTCCGGATTAACAATTTCCGTTTCGCAGAGCCTTCATCGAAGATCAACAACACAAAGATATCATTCCTTATTTTTCAAAGAGCAATCCTTCCATTCTCAGAATATACAGTTTCTAATCCATGCCATGGAATAAATTCTAATACATGTTTTCACAAAGCAAGCAAGCTAATGAAACGGAAATTGTTAATCCGAAGAGTTTCGTCATCATTACCTTGTGAAAACTTCTTTGACTGTACGCCTGAAAAAAACAAATGGACTTTCGGCATTACATGGAAATATAGACTTTTGTGATATAAACTGCAGCAATTTTTGCAGTTTCCTTTTTGTGTTTTGCTTTACTGTACTGTGGACTGTGACCTTCTTGCTTTTCTCTTTCTAGGCCTTCTCAGACACAGCAGACAAACTGGAGTGAGTCACCAGGCCCACACATGCCTCCCTCCCACCCCTCCTCCTCCTCTTCTTCCTTGGACAGCCAGCATGGTCTAGCAGTTCGCATGTCAGGCTAGTATCTGGGAGACCCACGACCGAACCCCAGTTCTGCTGTGGAAGCTCCCTGGGTAACCTGCCTTACAGAGTTGCTGTTGCAAGGATAAAATGAAGGAGGGGAGAATCAAGTTGTTAGTCGCCTTGAATCCCCACTGGAGAACACCGGGGGTATAATTTTTTTTGTTTTAAATCTTAGTGCATAGAGGCTGAAAACGGGAGTCTTCCAGTGTGATGTCTGAATGCAGGTGTCTGACTAAACCAAGTTCCTTTCCCACTAACTTGCATTTTTAGGGCAAACATAGGCATGGTGTGGGAAGGATCTTTGATTTGGAACTTCTGAAGTTTTGTTTTAGAACCTGCGAGGAGGAGGAGGAGGAGGAGGAGGAGGAGGAGGAGATTGGATTTATACCCCCTGCCCCCTTCACTACCCGAAGGAGTCTCAGAGCAACTTACACTCTCCTTTCCCTTCCCCTCCACACAACAGACACCCTGTGAGGTAGGTGGGGGTGAGAGAGCTTTTTTGAGGACTGCTCCTGAGAGAACAGCTCTGATAGAACTTGTGACTGACCCAAGGTCACACTAGCAGCTGCATGTGAAGGAGTGGGGAATGAGAAAGCGTTGCTAGGCAAGAGGGAGCTTCACCCCCTCCTTCTCCTGCCTCTTCCATGATCTCAGGCTGCAACCTGTTGTGGGGCAAAAGACGAGTTCAGGTACCTAATGGCAGAGCAGTGATTTGAAGACAGAGGTCTCCAGGGCTCTGAAGTCCTTTCCGGGCATTAGATCCTTGTGTATTGCAAGTCCCAGCAGCTGTGCAAGTATGACACACAATGCTCAGCTGCCATGCTCAGCTGCCATGTTGTTTGAACACAAGGGAATGCGTCTATTTTGTACACCCTAGCTTTGGTACGCATGAACCATAACCTTGAGAAATCCAGCGGTACATGCATACTGAAGATGTACATGCATGCAAAATGCACGCACTCCCTCTTTTCAGACAGCACAGTGACTGCACAAATCAGAAGCGTCTTTACATGGTCAGGAGGCTCCTGGTACACATGGATGTGTCTAAAGAGGACTTCTATTAACTTTAGGCAGTACTGTACTGGTACAAAGCTATATTTTTTACTTCATTTACAAACCCCTTTCCTCCAATGGGGACCTGGATAGCCAAACTAGCCTGATCTTGCTAGATCTCGGAAGTTAATCAGGGTCAGCCCAGGCTAGTATTTGGAAGGGCAACCTCCAAGGAATACCAGGGGCATGACGCAGAGGCAAACCACCTCTGGCACATCTCTTGCCTTAAAAACAAGTCTAGCTTGCCACCTAGTGGTGCATAATGCTAAAAGAGCTAGAACTTCTGGCTACCAGACAATTTTAGGATCTCCTGGCTATACTCCACACACTGCCATATGGTAATTATAATTATTTTCTCCAATGGGGACCCCAAAATGGCTTATATTATTCTCATCCTCCTCCATTTTATCCTCACAACAGCCCTGTGAGGTAGGTTAGGCTGAGTGTGTATGACTGGCCCATGGTCACTCATCAAACTTTCACAGCAGAGCGGGCATCAAACCTGGCTCTCCCAGATTCTAGTCCGACACTCTAACCACTACACCACCCTGGCTCTGTGGAAGGCAACCATTAACCAGCACAAGAGACTCACAGTCCGTCCCCCCTCTACCCCTCGGTTCCCAGAGAGGCAAACCTCTGCAATAGCTGCAGCTTTCCACCAAGGATGACCCCACTCAGAACTCACATCAGTAGCCTAGCATGACACAGTCCTCAGCACACTGAATGCAGCAATGAAGTTTCCCCGGGACCCACACTAAGCCAGGGGCTTGCGGCAACCGGGGGAAGGAGGCTTTGTGGTGTGTGCCTGGCGTAATTTAGCAGGGGACCGTGGCTCACCTGGAAGGGTCTGGGGTGGCCGTGAAGAAATGAACGCACGGCAGGTGGGCATCCTGTGGGAGGACGGAGACCATGCTTCCTGTGGTGGCAAACCCTTCGGACTCCACGCAGATACCGCTGGCTTTGTCTCTCAGGATGGCCATGATGGTGCTGGCGGTGATCTGCCCTGCAGCCACAAGGGAGGAGGAGGAGTGCGGTGTGAAGACCAGAAGAGACAGCCGCCCGATGCTCTCCCAGACAGGCAATGTTTGTCTGGAACAGTGCTGGAATTCTCAAATATGGAATCCACAAGGAGGCAAAGCAAAGTGGGCACAGGCACAGACAGTGCCAAAAGGAGATGGATTAATGAAGGATAGGTTTATCAGTGGCTACTAGCCATGGTGACTCAAAGGAACCTTCACATTCAGTCACCCTCTGAATCTCAGTGCCAGAAGGCAACATCAGGGGAAGGTCTCTGCTTCTATGCACTGTAGCTGGCTCTCCAGAGGAACTGATTGGCCACTGTCTGAAATAGGATGCTGGACTAGATGGACCACTGGTCTGATCCCGCAGGGCTCTTATGTTCTTATGAAGGCCTCTGTCTCTCGTCTTATGTAGGCCTCTATGCCCTGTTGTGGGCCCTCCAGAGGAATTGGTTGGCCACTGTGTGAGGCAGGATGCTGGACTAGATGGACCACTGGTCTGATCCCGCAGGGCTCTTATGTTCTTATGAAGGCCTCTGTCTCTCGTCTTATGTAGGCCTCTATGCCCTGTTGTTGGCCCTCCAGAGGAACTGGTTTGCCACTGTGTGAGACAGGATAGTGGGCTAGATGGACCACAGGTCTGATCCAGCAGGGCTCTCCTTATGTTCTTGTCAGGAGAAGGCCTCAGCCTCTGTGCTGTTGTTGGCCCTCCAGAGGAACTAGTTGGCCACCGTGGGAGACAGGATACTGGGCTTGATGGACCACTGGTCTGATCCAGCAGGGCTCTCCTTATGTTCTTGTCAGGAGAAGGCCTCAGCCTCTGTGCTGTTGTTGGCCCTCCAGAGGAACTGGTTTGCCACTGTGTGAGACAGGATAGTGGGCTAGATGGACCATTGATCTGATCCAGCAGGGCTCTTCTTATGACAGTTCCTGAGAACCACTGAGGATGGCAGAAGGGGACCTGTATGAGACAATCCACCAGGAAGGCCTCCTGTATAAGTTCCCTTGAATTTAGCAGATAGGGGTTTTTCACACCACAATGTTGGGCCAGCCCCGTTTATCCCTAAAAGCCGTGACTTCCGACTCAGCGCTTTCTCTGCCTAATTCCAAAGGCAGAGGTCCTAACCATGGTTCCTAAGTGATGTGCTCAGAGGCAACAAAGAGCCCTCCTCTTGGTTTACCAAGGCAAGTTCTGTCTAAATCGCAGCTCTCCAGGGTCTCTGTAGAAGTTTTTCACATCACCTACTACCTGATGAGAAGAAGAGTAGGTTCTTATATCCTGCTTTTCTCTACCTTACGGAGTCTCAAAGCAGCTTACAATCACCTTCCCTTCCTCTCCCCACAACAGGCACCTTGTGAGGTAAGTGGGGCTGAGAGAACCTTGATTGGCCCAAGGTCACCCAGCAGGCCTCATGTGTCTCAAAGCGGCTTACAATCTTTTTCTCCCCTCGGCACCTTGTGAGGTAGGTGGGGCCAAGAGAGTTCTGACAGAACCGTGACTGGCCCAAGGTCACCCAGCTGGCTTCAAGTGGAGGAGGAGCGGGGAATCAAACCCGGTTCCCAAGATCAGAGTCTGCCAGTCTTCACTACCACACCACACTTTACAGAGGATACACAGAGACCAATTCCAACTTCCTCGGTATGAAGGTTCTATGTATGGCAGAGATTGGCCTTTGTAGACTCTGCGATCAAATCGATGGGTCCCCTTTGGAGTGGAATTGCCAGCCAAAACTGGTTTCCACAGCTAACTCCCGTTAGCACCAGTAATACAGGGATGTGGGTAACCTGGAGCACTTTCTATGCCAGAGCTCCCTTGCGCAGACTCCATCCATCCGGTCAGCACACGTATGACCCCCCCCCCCCATTTTCTTTCTACCGTGCACATTTTTATCCTGCCCTGTGTCCAAGAAGTCTACGCTGTTCCCTTCGCCCATTTTATCCTCACGGCAACTCAGTGGTGTACTGAGGCTGCGAGAGACTGACTGGGCCAAAGTCACCCAGCAAGCTTCCAGTTTGGTGTCGTGGTTAAGTGCGCGGACTCTCATTTGGGAGAACCGGGTTTGATTCCCCACTCCTCCACTTGCGCCTGCTGGATGACCTTGGGCAAGCCATAGTTCTGGCACAGCTGTCCTTGAAAAAGAGCAGTTTCTGTCAGAGCTCTCTCAGCCCCACCTACCTCACAGGGTGTCTGTTGTGGGGAGGGGAAGGGAAAGGAGTTTGTAAGCCCCTCTGAGACTCCTTTGGGTAGTGAAGGGCGGGGTATAAATCCAATCTCTTCTTCTCTTCTTCATGGCAGAGTGGGGATTTGAACCTGGGTCTCCCAGGGTGCCCTCCAGCACTCTAACCATTATACCACACTGTTCTCTCTTGCTGCTTCTTGCATAATCCTGACTGGCTGAAGCACATCCTGCAGAGGAGATTCTGAATATCCAAATCCGCCCCAGGTTGCTCCAAGAGAGCTCTGTTTCCTAGGCCCATTTTTCCAGACCCCATTCTGCACCCACGGGCAATGCCCTTTGCCGTTGTGGTTTTTGAAAACGTACCTGAATGCTGGCGTAGCAGCTGCTGGCCAGCGCAATACCGCGCTTTGGCCGCTTCCATGCGGACAGGCTGATGAACAAGTGAGAACACTTTAGTGAAGCTGAACTCTCCTTCACCGTTCCACCAGCCCTGTCTTCGGGCGTGTTCCCTTAAGTCCGGGTGTTCCGCCGTAATGTCTGCATCTATGCTCAGCTGGTTGGAGATGTTACGGGCCCCTTCTGTGGAGGGAGATGAAATGTATCCTATTCAACCAAAAACAAATCGGCGGGTTCTAGATCAAATCAAGCCTGAACTCTCCCTAGAAGCTAAAATGAGTAAACCGAGGCTATTGTACTTTGGTCACATTATAACAGAAGAGTCACTGGAAAAGAAAATGATGCCAGGAAAAGTTGAAGGCAGCAAGAATAATAACAGCAACAACTGTATAGCAGTGTGTGTAGTATAGCCAGGAGATCCAAAGATTGTCCGGCAGCCAGAAGTTCTAGCTCTTTTAGCAAACCTAGAGTCCAGTGGGGCACCTTTGAGACCAACAAAGGTTTATTCAAGGTATGAGCTTTCGTGTGCATGCACACTTTTATCAAATACGTTAGAATGGCAGGCGAGGTTCAAACTTATAGCCAGAGAATGAACAGCGAATTAACATGCAAGATGATGATGAGGTGTCTTTTCTAATTGTGGGGAGTGACACCTTTAGATATTTATTAGATATTGACATACTTATTGCTTTACAACTGTTATTTACTGTCACTTTGCATATCTTGGTCATCACGTTGCATTTTAATTTGATGTTCATTCTCTGGCTATAAGTTTGAACCTTGCCTGCTATTCTAACGTACCTGACAAAGTGTGCATGCACACGAAAGCTCATACCTTGAATAAACCTTTGTTGGTCTTAAAGGTGCCACAGGACTCAAAATTTGTTGTACTGCTTCAGGCCAACACAGCTGACCAACTGGATCTAGCTCTTTTAGCGTTATGCACCACTAGGTGGCGAGATAGACTTGTCTGTTTTAAGGCAAGAGACGTTTCAGAGGTGGTTTGCCATTGCCTGCCTCTGCGTCACACCCCTGGTATTCCTTGGAAGTTGCCCTTCCAAATAGTAGCCCAGACCGACCCTGCATAGCTTCCAAGATCTGACGAGATCGGGCTAGCCCAGGCTATCCGGGTCAGGGCTTCCCCACTGGAGAGAAAGGGCATCCTTTCTGAACTATTCTCCTGTAATACAACCTTTGCTAGTAGCTCCTGGCAAAAGGCACCTTTTCCCAAACGCAGGTGGCATTCCAACTCTGGAGAACAGCAGACCATAACCCCATACCCTGGTAGCATCCTGGGTTAGACTACAGCAGTGTGGTCTCTGTAAGGCTGGTATCAAGAAACAACTCAGAAATTACACCTCGTCCAGAACACAATGGCTAGATTGCTGACAAGCATGAAGAGAGACTGTCCCATTCTCAAATAATTATTATTCATGAGCTTCTAGACCTAGGGCTTTTCCACATTCTCATTTTCCACACGGGTTAAGTTCCTGTTTCTTTCGGGGGTCCTGTTCTGCATGAGTTTTGCTCCCTCTAGTGGTCGATTCGATATTACACATTTATGTCTGGCATAAAAACCTGCAGATTTTGGAGATATGCCAGACATGTTGTTGTTGTTCAGTCGCACAGTCGAGTCCGACTCTTTGCGACCCCATGGACCAGATCACGCCAGGCCCTCCTGTCTTCCGCCGTCCTCTGAAGTTTGCTCAATTTCATGTTCGTTGCATCTATGACACTGTCTAACCATCTCATCCTTTGCCGTCCTCGTCTTCTTTGACCTTCAATCTTTCCCAGCATCAGGGTCTTCTCCAGTGAGTGCTCCCTTCTCATTTGGTGGCCAAAGTATTTGAGCTTCAGTTTCATTATCTGGCCTTCCAGGGAACAGTCAGGGTTGATTTCTTTTAGGATTGACTGATTGGATTATACCAGAAATAATCTGGTGTAATACCAAATGGATCACTAGAGGGAGCAAAACACAAGCAAAACAGAAAAAACCCCAAAGGAATAGGAACGTGCACACTTTGTCTAATTTATGCAGGCTGCAGAATTCTGACCTCCCGGGCGCAGAATCGGGCACAGAGTGTACACAATACTGACCATCTGCAGAAGAGATATCAGGCTCTTCCAACGCCGCACAGAGTTTCCTTTGTACAAATGCTCACCTCGAATCCTCTGAGCGGCCCAAAATCTTCCAGCTGTCTCCAACACCCAGGCTTCAGTGCGGTCCGCCAAGAGGAAGGTGTTATGGTAAACAAAAGGGGTTGGCTCCTCCTTGCATGGGCCCCCTTGGCCATAGCGTTCCAGGAGTGCCGTTATGACCTGAATGGCTTCGTGTGCGTTGCTGCCCCTCTCCAAACCCAGCCTGAAACACACCATTTAAACTGTAAATCAATGAAGGCTTCCACTGGAATAAACTCTTGTTGATCTCTTAGGAGCCGCAAGTCTCTTGTTTAGTTTTGTAACAAGCTACTGCAGCTAGGGCTCTGGAATTATTAGACAGCAAAGACTTTTATTTAAATGTAAAAACACAGGTTGCAGTCATCCACACTGGTCCAAAGCAAAAACCCCAAACCAAAAGCCATGTGATTCGCTTTTACAAAATATATCTTTAATAATACAGTGCACCTAAAATATTCACTATAAACAACATGGGCCTTTAGGCTGTAGAGGTCACACATATGCGTAGTACAAATTACATGCAATGCAGTATACGCTTAGTAGCACTGATTGGAACCAGTAAACCAATGAAACTGGACCAGAAGCATTTCAGCCAAAAAGGTCTTCTCCAGTGGCCCCAATTTAATATCACATATTTAATATCACATACACAATATATGAAGGAATCTGTATCATAGGTAAAGGTTCCCTTGCTCGAAAGCCAGTCGAATCCAACTCTAGGGTTGCGGTGCTCATCTCCGTTTCAAAGCCGAAGAGCCAGCGCTGTCGTATAAAGTATCGTGGGGCGTTCCAAAATACATACTGTGGCACAGAAGTACTCTGTGAGAGCATTACATCTGGCTCCTGATCTTTATAGCCACACCAAAGGGAACGAGAGATGATATAATCATATTGGATACAGCAGTTCCTTCACGCACAGGGTGCATATGTGTGCTGCCCTGGTAAATTATGTATGCGTGCAACCTCCAGAACTCTTCCTTAGGCTGGATATTTTTTTTTAAAGATGGGGGATCAGACAGTGGTCCCTCTAGTCCAGCATCCTGCCTCGCACAGCGGCCAACCAGTTCCTCTGGAGGGCCAGCAACAGGGCATAGAGGAGAAGCCTTCCCCTGATAAGAACGTAAGGAGAGCCCTGCTGGATCAAACCAAGAGTCCATCTAGTCCAGCATCCTGTCTCACACAGTGGCCAACCAGTTACCCTGGAGGGCCAATAAACAGGGCACAGAGGCCGAGGCCTTCCCCTGTTGTTGCCTCCTGGCTCGGGATTTCAGAGGTTTACCACCTCTGAATATGGAGAGTCCCTTAAGTCAATGGAGCTATCTGCCAGTTGTCATTAACGTGAATTGAAGCCTGAAGCATCTGTCGTTTGAGGGCCGGGGCATACAGTTCCACAGCCTCACTGGAGACGACTGGCACAGGAGTGACCAGAATAAAAGGGGGTTGGGGTGTGGATGCATGAAGTGACATCACCCTTCGGACTGGCACTTACCGGACCAGATCCATGCCCAACAAAGCTTCCTCTTCCCCCACCGGCTCCTTAGTCCACACCCCTTCGTTGCCGATGCAGACGCCGTGTTCGTTGGCTCCCATCTCAGCTCCCCATAGCCAGGCCGGTCGGCTCAGGATGACGGCGTGAGTCCTCCCTACCTGGTCCACTTCGATGTACGTGCACTGGAAAGAAGCGCTGTCTTTTAAAACACAGAACGTGTCGCCTCGAACGCCTGAAGATGAGTTACGAAAGGGCCAAACGACACATTGTGATTTAAATCGCTGTTCCGAGGCAGCGACAGGGCGCAGGGGGAAAGTCTAAGCCCGTCCTTGCTGCATGCCGCACAGTGCCCATATGAATCAGGCCTGGAAAGCACAGAACTCCAGAATGCAGCTCTCTGTCGGACCCGGGAATATCCCTGGGGAGCCGCTATAGACTCACAACAACACTGTGAGGTAGGGCAGGCTGAGAGAGAGCACCTGGCCGGAGGCCACCAGCTTCCAAACAGGTCTCTCCAGTCCACCCCTGGGGGAAAACGTAAAGGGTAGTCAGGGGCACAGGTCTCTTAGCCTTGAATTCCCCCCGCCGCCAAAGAAGAAGAAGAGGAGGAGGAGGAAGAGGAGGAGATTGGATTTATACCCCGCCCTTCACTACCCAAAGGAGTCTCAGAGCGGCTTACAAACTCCTTTCCCTTCCCCTCCCCACAACAGACACCTTGTGAGGTAGGTGAGGCTGAGAAACCCCATTTAGGAGACTACAAATGTCCTAGGTGGGCAAGAGTCACCGAATAAAAATAAAACTATTCACTCATTTCATACCTTGCCTTTCCCCCCAGCGGGGACCCAATGCAGCTTGCCTTTCTTCTCTTTTCCTCCATTTTATCCTCACAACAACCCTGTGAGGTAGGACAGGCTGAGGCCCGAGGTTGCCCCGCAACCATCTACGGCAGACTAGGCATTAGAACCTGGGTCTCCCAGCTCCTAGTCCACCACTCCAACCATTACACCACGCGGGATCACGGTGCGCATGTTCATGCCCCCAATGTAATTACGATTGCCCTCCAGTTTGGTGTAGCGGTTAAGTGCTGACAAAGATGACGGGGATGGCAGGGCAGAAAGGAGGAGAAGGGAACGCACGTGGATTGGGAAGCAGCTGGGCTGTCTCGTGCATGCCCCTCTGAGGGGAAAGGCACCTCAGCCTGTCACCGCCACACGTCTGAATAGCTCTGGAGCCGGGAGGCGGAGTGCATGTTGGGGAGGGTGGGGGAGGGTGACTTCCCTTCCACTCCTGTCCTCAGCTCATGGAGGAAAAGGAGTTGTGGGAGGACAAAAAGACCCCTTGGAGGTTTCGGAAACAGCCTCTGTCAAACCTTCCCGTCAGCCCCGCCGTTTCCATGGGAAATGTAGGAGGGATGAGAACTGGTGGAGGCGGGATATGGGAGGGCCAGGTTCAGACACATTCCCTCCCGAGCCAGGACCCTGCTGTCTGGGTCACCCGGGGCTAGTTGCCCAGCCTGGACCACCTCACAGGGTTGTTGTTGGAGGGGATGGGGCAATCGAGGTGGCAGTCTGGTGTGCTTCCTTGAGATCCTCAGAGGTAGTGCGGGGGAAGAGAGGAAACAAAGAGCAAGAGATGGATCGTAGCCTTGCTCAGCTGTTGAGGCTGGGTGTCCTGGAGCGATGGTGCTGACAAACTACCTTATGTACTTGCAAGGAAGATGTCTCATCTCCTGAAAGTGCTATATATAAAAAAAGGAACTAATTTGTATGGAAATGTAAGATACCCTCCCTTTTATGGTATCCCTTGGAAAAAACCTAATCTTACACATGATTAAATATATTTATTGGGGCTTTTGTGGTTTCCCCAGCAAACCAATTGCTTTCGCTCCTAGGAATCAATTGCATTTGTTTGTATTTTCAGTTAAAAAAAGAAAGAAAGAGCCAGTTTGGTTAGTGGTTGAGTGCGCGGACTCTAATCTGGGAGAACCGGGTTTGATTCCCCACTCCTCCACTTGCACCTGGCTGGATGACCTTGAGCAAGCCGTGGTTCTGATAAGAGCTGTTCTTGAAAAAGAGCAGTTTCTGTCAGAGCTCTCTCAGCCCCACCCACCTCACAGGGTGTCTGTTGTGGGGAGGGGAAGGGAAACGAGTTTGCAAACCGCTCTGAGACTCCTTTGGGTAGTGAAGGGTAGGGTATAAATCCAATCTCTTTTTCTTCTTTTTCTTAAAAAAATAAAAATAAGTGGAGGGCAATCGTAATTACAATAGGGGCACGAACACGTGCCCGTGCCACAGCAGCAGTAGCAAGTGGCAGAAGTCGTGAGGAATGATGTGCCCCCCCTGCACTGCTTGCTGTTGCCCCATCAAACCCTGCCCCCACGCTCACAGCTGTAGTAGCTTAAAAGGTGTTTCTTTAACCAGAAATTTCCTACGTTGAAACACAAGTCCCCATACTTTGACAGGAACATAAGAACATAAGAGATGCCAATGTTGGATCAGGCCAAAGGCCCATCCAGTCCAACACTCTGTATCACACAGTGGCCAGAAATACCACTGCCATCAGGAGGTCCACCAGTGGGGCCAGGACATTAGAAGCCATCCCACTGTTGCCCCCCCCCCAAGCACCAAGAAGACAGAGCATCACTTGCCCCAGAGTCCCTATCTATACCTTGTGGCTAATAGCCACTGATGGACCTCTGCTCCATATGCCTATCTAATTCCCTGTTGAAGCCGTCCATGCTTGTAGCCACATCACCAATTACACAGACATCTCAAATCCGGGGAACCACTCCTGGGCCAGAATTCCTGCCAGGCAGCAAAAGCTGTGTTGGGTCCCCATCTGGTACAAAAGCACCGGATAGATGAAGTCAATATATGAACAAGACAACAACCCTGATTTCTCTCTGTGAGGGTGGGATCGATTTCTCTCTATCTGTGAGTCTGGGATTATGCTAGGGGAGTCAGATTTGGCAGGGGCGTTTTATTTTATTGGCTGGAAAGGATTTGTTAAAACCAGAAGTCTCCTATGCTAAAACACAAGTCCCCATTCTTTAAAAGGAAACTTTCATCTCACCAACTAAAAGCTTATATTTTAAAAAAGCTCAGGTGAGAGAAATGCCACAACCCGGATAGCCCAGGCTATCTTTGGCTGATTCTGCACTGGCTCTTCCCTCTGTTGTTTTAGCAAACCCACGATGGAACAGAGATTCCCCTCTGCATTGCATGCTGCTTTCACTTCCTCTGATCATCGGGCTTTATGGTAGCCTCCACACTCCATGCCACTTTCGCTGCCTTTGAGCATCGGATTTTATGGGACCTCCGGCATAGATTTATGGCCGTTTTATGGCCATTCAGGGGTGACTGCAGTCAGTTCAGTGTTGCCCCAGGGTATCTGAATGTTGGTTTTGAGCTGCCCTTTTCCCTCCCAGTTGAGAAAATGGGAAGCGAATGCTAGATGCAGAATCGCCCTTCATTTATTTACTTCACGTACCATCCAAGTTTCTAACTGAGACTCCAGGCATGTGTAGCCCCAAGAGAAAAAGCAGATTCCCTATTTCCTTTCCTAGTCAGGTATAGCACCAAAGACGTGGTGCTTGGTGGCTGAGTCTGCAGGATGTGTAGGCCAAAGATGAGGAGGCGGTGATGGTTCGGGACCTGTGGCACTCTACTGTAACCAGGATTCCTGGGTTCTCTCAGCACCCACTGCTTTGGGTAATCCTGTCCTCCTCCGCCCGCACCTGCCCAACTCCCTTCCTCTCTGCTGGGATTTTGCTCACCTGGACTTTGGCCCCTTTTGCATGAGTGGCAGCTGGGAAATAGACCACTTCCTGGACTTCATCCTTCGGCCGGTCGGAATTCTTGCCAAAGATTACCTCTCTGGTGGCAGAGGCTGGGGGCAGCGAAACGAAGCAGTCGCAGGAGGAGGGTGCCCAAGGGCGAGGGTCAGCCATCCTACGTAGAGGGAGGACAACCAGGAGAAGGCTGAGAGTTTCGCTTCCTTCTGAGCCTTGGCCAAGGACCTCTGCTTTCTCAGCAGGGTGGTAAAGCTTCCAAATCCGAGCCAGTTTCGTTCACACCTACGTGGGTTTCCCATACAGCCCGGCTCTTTTGAGTTACAGATAAGGGCACACAGGTAGGTTGTCAACTCTAGCTGGGGAAACTGCTGGAGATTTAGGAGTGAAGCCTAGGGAAGGTGTGGACTTCAAAGAGGGGAGACCCCTGGTCAAGTTACGCTCTCAACAACACTCTCTTTGGCAGTGATTTGTTTATCGAGAAATAGACAAGATCCAGGTCGTGACTGTACTGTGTCAGAACGAAAGAATTTTGGCGGCACAACCACAGATATAGGTAATTCAAAAGAAACCCCTCCTAAAAGTCACTCACACGTCACATCCATCCCACCTAGCTGCTGCGTTCACTACCCCCCCCCCTTCACCTGGGAAATATACAATCCCCGTTATCTCTACTCAAGCCAGCTGGCCCCGAAAGTCTCAAAGGACGTTCCTCTCCCAGAGGAAGGCTTCTTCAGAAAGTTAAGGGCCTCTAAGATAGGGCGCTTCACACACTCCACATTCACTCCCCCCCCCTTAGGAATTCCCTCCCCCCTACAGTCATGGCAAACTGAGCAGAGCAAGGTTTGACACGGAGCAAGCTCAGCAGGGATTCAGGAGTTCTGTTTCTCTTGGACTTTATGCTACAGCTCAGTTTGCCCTGACTTGGACCGATCAGGCTAGCCCAATCTCCTCAGATCTCAGAGGCTAAGCAGGGTCAGCCCTGGACAGTATGTTGGAGTGGTTACGAGTTCTGTCCCTAATGTAATGAAAGTGTTAACCTGCTTGTTTGTGTATGCTACACAGTTAGTTAGAACCAATGGAGTGCCGAGTAGAAGTTCCCAGCTAGAAGGGGAAGGTCTGTGCATAATGAACTGACCTTTAGCCTGGCCATTGGTCAGTTCATAGTTGGGATATGTAATCTGAGTTTTTGCAGGTTGGCATCTTTGGGTTTCTCCTTCCTCACTCTCTCTCTTTTTTTTTTAGAGATCAGTCATGCAAGTATCCTTTATGACATAAACATCAGCTAGGAAGATGTAACTTCGTCCACTAGACTGTTTATTGTTTTATTCCTCTGTGTAATCCTCCCTAATATCTTAGCCAACTTTCTTTTTAGCTAATTTATGCACATGTGCTGCGTTGTCATTTTTTACGTGCCCACACTGTACTCAGATAGGATTCCAACAAGGAAGTCCAGGGTCGCTACACAAAGGCAGGCAACTGCCCTCGGCCTGGGGTTAGCTCTCCCTCTAAGCTGTGGAGTCTTGCGAGCAAAAATTCGACTCTGTGAGCTACTGGCATGAAAGTTATGAGAGCGATTTGGCTACTGCATAAATTAGTTTGCCCTGGAGCCATCCTTCCTGAGCTAAGACAGAAATGTGTGAGCTGGAGGCTAAAAAACTGTGAGCCAGCTCACACTAACTCAGCTTAGAGGGAACAGTCGTTACCAACAGCAAGTCTGCTCCAGCAGACCTCCAATGGGGTTGGTAACACACCCTGGCCGAGTCTGACTTAGGCAGGGATGCCAACCTTCAGGTGGGCCCTGGAGACCTCCTGGAATTACAACTGATTTCCAGATGACAGAGACGGGGGGGATGGTTGCTTTGGAGGGTGGACTCTGTGGCATTCTACCCTGCAGCGGCCCTCCTCCTTCCCAGGCTACACCCTCAAATCTCCAGGAATTTCCCAACCCAGAACTGGCAACCCTAAGTCTACAGTTCTTACAGCTTCCCCGTTCCCACCCACAACGCTTTTGCAAAGCCCAAACTCTTACCAACAGAAGAAGTTATATTATTTATTTATTATTTACATTTTTATCCCGCCCTCCCCTTCACCCTCAGCCTTTCTGCAGGGTTCAAAGGCTGAGAGGGAAAGAAAAAAATCTCCCCAGATTTCGCATAATGCCCCTGAGTCGGACTCTGCCAGGCTCAAGTCCCAACTAGTCACCCATGCTTGAGGCCTGAGGCATGGTCGCGCCTTCGTTGCCAGGATCAGCCCCGTTCCCCCACTTGACCAACCCCCTTGCTCCAATGTCTTCGGCAATGCCCAGGACCCGGGCCCCCTATCGCCCTCTTTGCCACGTAATCCCCCTTTCCAATACACGCACACCCCCTCGGCCCCTCCCACGATCCAGTTTGCAATTCTAGCTTCCATTCCCACGCTCTTTGCAACTGCTGACACGTCCTTCCCATATACACAGACCTCCAATGCTGGAGAGACACGGGCTCCCACCGTCCCCTCCCCGCACTTTTCCGGGTCTGCTGTCTCCCCACAACCTGGGCGCCGGAGTTGATTTTGCACAGCGGGAATCTGGATTGGTGCTGCGGCGTCCCGTGACTGGAGGGAGCGAAAAACAAAACGACATTACCGCTGACGGACGCTAGAGGGCGCCCTCCGACCATCCACAGAAGCCTTTCCCCAAGCAGGAACCAATGGGAAATTCCCTGATAAAGAATTCCCTTAGGGAGCAGAACAAGGTTCGAGTCCAGTGGCATCGGACGGAGAGAGCTGTGGTTCTCGAAAGCTTATGCTACAATAAAGTTTGTTAGTCTTCAAGGTGCTACTGGGATTTTTCCTATTTTTCAGTGGCACCTTTGAGACCAACGAAGTTTTATTCAAGGTATAAGCTTTTGTGCGCGCACACTTCTTCAGATACAGTGAAAGGGAAATTACCAGTCTGTACACACAGGTAGAGGGTACCTACTTGAATCTACCCTTAGGGAGCAGTTATTCTCCCCCACCCACCCAAGGAAACCTCTAATTTGCAGGAAAATCCAGTTGGTTAAAAAATGGATGCCCCCCTCCCAAATAATCAAATACCTGTTTTTTTACAACCTTTCTGTGAGAGGTGAGCTGGCAGCAGTGTACCTGTAGAGAGGGGAATCAAGCAAGTAGTTGGGTTGAGGAAAGTTGGGGTGAGCAGGAAAGAAAGGAAAAGTGGATCTAAAGGGGAGGAAGTGAGAGACAGCTGGGAAAAGAGTATTTTACCTCCTATGTGAGACCACATGGGTCTTCCACTTGTATAGCACTGTACTCCCTGTACAAACCCAGCAAAGGATGATAACATGGGCAAGATCTCACTATATGTTTGCTCAAAACTAAATGCCATTCAACAAAATCATGCTTCCACCTAAAACTGTTGTCTCCTCCACTTTTGTTTTGCAGTCTAATCAATTACTTTCTATTCTCATTCACCATTCAATTACTACTTATTACTTCTTGCAGGAGGGTGTGTGTGTGAAAATTAAATACTGCTTTTCACTTTGTAGGCAAAGGAACTGCCCATTATTGTTTTTATTGCTGTAATTTCATAACAGTACTTCGTGATCATGATTTTTTTAAAAAAAATGAGAGTAGAATGGGCAAAATGCAATGTGCAAAGTGGTGCTTACCGCTCCCCCCAACCCCCCTCTTAAGAAATGATAAATAAACATGCATGGGTTGCAAAGAGAACAAGTAGTAACTAACAGAGGTAGAAGGAAGGCAATAAAGCTAAAGGAGCAATAACCATGGGAAAAAACCCCTCAGTAGCACTTTAATTTCCCACCCTGGGCAACATTGTACTGTGACCAATGCTCCCTCTAAGCTGTGGAGCCTTGTGAGCAAAAATTCTACTTTGTGAGTTACTGGCATTAAAGTTGTGAGTGAGCGATTTGGTTGCTGCATAAATTCGTTTGCTCTGGAGCTATCCTTCCTGAGCTAAGACAAATATCTGTGAGCTGGAGGCTAAAAAACCGTGAGCTAGCTCACACTAACTCAGTTTAGAGGGAACACTGCTTCCCACCCCTGTCAACATTGTACTGTGACTGCATTTTCTGTTACAAAAATCGCCAGAGATCAGGTCTGACAAATGTGCTTTTCTGCAAGTCAGTTTCGGCCCTATGCTACTTTGGTTTATCCCCTGATTTCTGCATGCATTTTTGTGTCTTTAATTTTCACTCCCCCCTCCCACACACACTTTTCTGGCTCTTTTGAGGCAACTTTTAACCCAATGTTGTTCTTGAAGCCGATTTTGAGTTGCCTTTATCCTGGTGCATAATGTTTCCACCGGTTTCCGTTGTCTCACCACCTGAAGCCCACTTTTCAATGATGAACTCATCATAATTAAACTACTCCCTCCTGTAACTCCCTCTTACCCCCTCCATAAGTGATTTCAATTTTTGTAAAGGCCCTAAAATATCAGTATAACAGTGTAGTGTTGTAATGATAGTTCTTTGATTTCTCAGCTTTCATTAAAAAAAGAGTAAATCTCTATCCCTCTCCCTGTCTGCAATGGAAAACGCTAGAGACTTACCTTTTAAAAATGAAAGCTGGGAATTCCGATACGCAGCTTAAACTATCCATTACAACACTACACCATTATATTGATATTTTAGGGCATTTTTTAAAATAAGGGGGTGCTCTAAGGTCACTGATAACAACGCCAATGACAACAGCACCCTCCCTTGAAAATCCTCATTATTTAAGCCACGTGGGGAAGAAAATAAACCAACTCCAGAACTGTAAAAATGCACAGGGTGCTTTCACACATATTAAGTAATGCAGTTTCAATCCACTCTGGCGACCGTTTGTAAGTGGATTTTGACATTTCGCACAGTAAAATCCAGTTGCAAAGTGCACTGAAAGTGGAGTGAAAGTGCGCTATTTAAGTGTGTGTGAAAGCACCCTACAGAGCACTCCCCACTGGGGAGAAAGGCGGGGTATAAATAAAGGTCCTTTCCGCATTTGCCTGCCACTCAGGGTTTTCCCAGTGTTCGAGTCGAGGCAATTTAAGTCCACACAAAACAGAACCCTTCCCGAACCGATTCCAATGCTTGTGGGTCAACTTTCAAGAAAATCAGGAGTAACTTGAGCATGTGGAAAGGGTCTGGGAAGACGAATGAGGGAAACACTCCAAACGAAATGAGTTGCTCGTGACATCATCTGGTCTCTCTGTCAAAAGTGAGCAAACAAAGGATGACCGTTCCCGATTAATCATCTAGTGAGGAAGCACTCTCTCGCGGCGCATCAAGGAATTGTGACTTCAGGACAACAGAAGTAAACAGACTTGTCACTCTGAGGCCTGGCTCACTCCGGGATGTTCCAGGCTAATGCCTCACGCCCACTGAGCCCCGCCAGGTGGGTGCCGTTCTCCTTTTTCCTGCCCACACCCATTTCCCAACTGGCCTGTAATTGACACCCTTTGTCTTGGAGACCGGACAGGGGACTGCGCCCGCTCGAATCAGGCCAGGACAAGTCCTGAGGAATGAGCGAAAGTGCCCACTTGATTAAAAAAACAAAAAACCAGAGGATGAGGGTGGAGAAAGTCAGAGGCTGAAAGGAACACTCCCTACGGAGTTGGAGTTGTTGGTGCGGTAATGTCCTCCCTCCGATTTGTACCCAAGGCATTATTTATATGGGTGCTGTTACACCCTGTTGCTTCACCCCGTAGGTTTTTCTCCTCTCGAACCGGTTGGTTCAGGAACACACTCAGTACAGCTGAAGCTTTCTGGGCCATGCTCCGGAAACCCCACCTCACACTGCTCCAGGAGACGGAGCCACGCCCTTTGAGAAAGTTCTGTCCCTCGTGTCGAATTCCACGGTGATGTCTGAAGCTCTGGAAGGGCCTTTCCCTTCTCTTCATAGATCTTGTTACAGTCCTGACACTTACCAGGTTTGAATCCCTGCTTGGCCATGGGAGCTTGCTGGGCGACCTTGGGCCAGTCACGCACTCTCAGCCTAAGCTGAGGTTGTTGTGAGGAGAAAACAGAGGAGACGAGAACGATGTAAGCCACTTTGGGTCCCCACTGGGGAGAAAGGCGGGGTATAAATAAAGGTCCTTTCCACATTTGCCTGCCACTCCGGGTTTTCCCAGTGTTCGAGTCAAGGCAATTTAAGTCCACACAAAACAGCATCCAAATAACCCCGGGGCAACAGCAGGCTGAAACTGGGGGCTGACCACTGAAGGCAGGTAATGTAATGCACAATGGGGGGGAAACCCCAGAGTAAAAAGAAGGCTGGATTCAATTTTAGTGCAGAATGGGGGGGGGGACCTGGATTAAAAAGAAGGTTGAGTTTGATTTTAGTGCAGAATTGCTAGAAGGACACTGCATTGAACACGGATTCAAAGGAGAGAGTAGAAAGGGCCATAGTAAGTAAATAAAGTTAAAAATGGCGGCGGTCAATGGCTTTGAAATTAAAAAAATAATTGAACAGGGCCTTTTTTTTGGTTTGGGGGTGCAGCAGACGGGATCTTATGGTTGTGATTTGAATTTGTACTGGCTGCTGGCTAAGGCTTGGTGTAGTGTAGTGTTGGTGTAGTGTAGTGGTCAGGGGTCATTTCGTAGAAAAAGAGCTAGGGGGACTCATTAGCATAACTCATTAGCATATGCCACACCCCCTGACATCACCGGAAGTGTGTCCTCCCCACAGCCGGCGGCGACCTCCAGCGGGCACCAGCAGGGAGCTCCAGGCCCCGCCCTCCCACACCTCACCCGGGGGGATGGCGTCCCCCCGCGTCCCCCCCAAATGACCCCTGGTCCCAGCCCAACAAAGTAACATTTATGTCCTATTCGTCCCTCCTAACAAAATCCAATCTCTTGTTCTTCTTCTTTTAGCCAACCTCTGGCCACAGGCAAGCTGAGGTGCGCCATTAAGTTGCTACAAATTCCCCACTCGCTGGGCTGACTTCGGGCCAGGCACGATCAGCCGAACTTACCTCATAGGGTTGTCGTGAGAGGAAAAATGGAGGCGTGGGAGCCACAAATGCTGTCCTGAGCTCCTCAGAGGAAAGGTGGGATACACGTGAAACAGGGGAACAGTTTAAAGAGTAAAAGGTATATACTATGCCATCCGGATGATGATTCACTTCTTTATTTGAAATGCCTCTGTCCCATGCTTTCAGTCAAGCAAAATCGGAGGAAACAAACACGGAACAGACATTAAAATCCCAAACGTATCACTGACTGAATTCCACCCTCTGAAGGCCAACCCGGTCACAGTGGCCTCCTCATGGCGCTTCTGAAGGCTAGGGCTCCAACAAGCCTTTGAAAGAAGCTGGCTCTGTTCCTGAATGTAGAGTTGCCAACCTTTTTTTGCCATCAGGTTGCGGCCGACTCATGGCAACCCCTTAGGGTTTTCAAGGCCAGAGATGTTCAGAGGTGGTTTTTGCCGTTGCCTGACTCTGCGTAGCGACCCTGGACTTCCTTGGTGGTCTCCCCTCCAAGTACTCACCAGGACTGACTCTGCTTAGCTTCCGAGATCTGACAAAATCGGAGTAACCTGGGTTATCCGAGTCAGGGGTTAGGGCTCATCAGCTAC